TAAAAAAAGTTAAAAAAAAATAAGTATGAAGAATAGCTACAATGGAATTCAAGAAGATCTGATTTAAAAGACAAAAGATAAATATAAGAGTAAAAAAATTATAAGTAAGAAGAAAAGCCAGATTAGAATTCGATAAGAATAGATTTAGAAGGAAAAGAACAAAATAAAAAAAAAAGAAGCAAAGTTAGATTAGAATTTGAGAAGATCGGAAGAAGAAATAGGAAGAAAAGAGTGAAGAGCAAAATATTGGATAAAATAAGATATAAATAAAAAGATAGTGTAATATATATATATATATATATATATATATATTCAAGATAGTGTACAATATATAAAAAAGGTACATGATGAAAATATATAAACATAGTCAAGAATATAAATATGAAATATTGTAGGTAAGCGCGGCCAAGAATAAATTAAATTAAATAAAAATAAGAATATATCTCCAACATTCAGTTGATTACTCTTAAATAAAATTCTCAATATTAATATCAATATTAATTAATTACCACTTACCTCTTACAAGTAGTGTCTTGTGTTTTAACAGCTTTCTCGAGCACGTTGTCCGATCGAACACTCGAACACACATCTGTCACCTCCGGGCACCGGTCTTAAGATAAAAAAGCGTCAAAAAACACGAATTTGCGATCTTTTAAAGTTACATTATATTCGCGAGAATTAATGTTTACGAGAATAGCCAGCACATTGCTCCCGACCAAGAGGTTAGCGCACTCTATAAGAAAAGACACTGCTGTAGTAGTAGAATTATAGATACATGTTAAAGGAATTTTGAATAGATGTAAATTAAATTTGTGTTAGAAATGATTTTTTTTGTGGATCTTGTATTTGTATACCCGCTCGGGTTGACGGTTCGGTTCGCACTGCAAACGATATTGGTTTTGTGGTGTCGTTTTTAAAGGGCAGACGGTGGAACGTTAGACTTCTATCCGACACTAGACGATCACATGTAGCAAAGCATTTCGAGTCGAAAGATGACACGATCGAGACACACGAGAACTACTAAACCGTCTATATATATTTTTCGAAAAAATAAAACACCGACGAGGCTGTATCGAGCACCTTCTCGAACGACTCTGGGATCTACTCTCCATGGTCAAGGGTAATCGATTTTGCTTTTTATGGGGACTTCTGGGATTTATGACTTGGACATGGTGCTTGAGATCTTTTTTAACTTGCAAATTATATTGAATACATGGATGATGACAATGGATAGTGTACGTAACTCTACTCATATGCACGATTTGTTTTTTTATCTTGAAATTTATTGCAAAGTTATTTAAGTTTGCTTTTTCCTCAATTAGCCAACTATTATTATTACTTTCATATATTTCAACTTGTTAAATAAAGATATTTTTTAAATATTTTTTTGTTTTGTGTAACTTTCCATAGTGTAAAATTCAAATTTTTGAATATCTTTAAATTGCAAAGGCTTCTGAACTTTTTGGCATACCTTAGTAAAAAAAGATGAATGTGTGTGTGTGTATGTGCAGATACCAATTTTTATTGACCATTTCGTACTAAATTAAAGCAGAGAATTTTACGTAACAAATTTTATTTCTTCTACAAAATTAGTTTTGTTCATGCTTTTACTCACGTATGATTAAAGTTCTTGTAATCTTTATGGACTAAATTTATTGTTTTTATATTAACAGCTTGAATTGATGTTTGCAATCTCGTTTGTAAATTGCTTTATGAATTTGAGTTGATTAATTGCTTTCAGAAATCAAAGTCTTGGTGTAAATCTATGTTAATATCAATAATGAATAATATTGGTAATTTCATTAATAAAGTTGTTGAAATGTGTGAATATATAGAATTATAGTTTTAGCATCAGTAAAGTTATTTTTTAGGCAAATTTGACTCTCCTTATATTGTTATAGGTTTATCATTTAACTTAGTTATAATATTCATAAGGGTTCTTCAAAGAGTAATTTATATGCATACATACATAAAGTATAATTATCAGATCAAAAAAGCTTTGGCAACGTTACATGCTTTGGTTAATGTAAAGATTTTTTATATTATAATTATTTATTGAAATACAACGCGTTTATTATATATCATAATGTATTTTTCAATAAAATTTATGTTCAAAATTTAATTCAGGAGTCCATTATAAAATAAATATATTTATATATGTTTCTAAGGTTGTGCGCCTCTGGCTCCATAAGATCGGAATAAAGTAGTAAAGACACGTGCGAACGATGCGTGTCTTTTTTCTTCATTTTCACCGCAAGTGCATCCGTAGATGACAGTGATGTCACATTGGAGGGTTATAATAGAAAATATATTAAAAAATTATACATTTTTTACATAAATAAATAATCATACATAATGGGTAGAAATAATGCCAAAATAAACTACTACTACTTCTGTAATAATTATAATCTTTTAACAACTTTCAAAAATATGATGAATACCATATCTCATTACTATCAGCTGCCCAAAATTTGGAAGTTTCTATTATCATATATAATTCAAATTTATTCTCGTCTTCATAAATAATTCATAAAGTTCAATATGTAGCATTTTCCGTGGGATAAATATTCGTTTCGTGATCTCGAGTTGTTTGCATAACAAACATTTCCAGACGCGTTCATAATGTTATATGACAACATACAAATTGAATAATTAACACCTGAATTTGAAGACACGCGGTACATGTACTTTACAAAAATTTTGATGATCAACACTTATTTTATTTTATTTATATCGTATTAATATAGTAAAACAAAATATAATTATTGAGAGAAAATTTAAAATTCCCAAAAATCTATTTTTTTTTCAAAGTTCTAAAAAAATCAATCTTTTTCAAAAAATTTAATTTTTGGTACGGAAAGTTCCAGCAATTTGCCTTAAGGCACGATGCCATGCACCACTAGTTTTCGAACCGTTTCCGAATGTTTGCTAAGCAATGCACAGGATGCAACGGGCAAATAATAAAGCAAACGACTCTAAATTATGTTATGGTAGACTGCTAGAAATAGATCGGTGCACAAAACAAAAGGGGTTGTTGCTAACCGAGGTCAGACACAAAAGGAAAAGCCGAAATAAAAATAACCACAAGTCAGCAGTAGTACAGTCAAGCGTGAATAGGACTACATAATCGAAAAAGGCGTAAGAAATTTTATTCAAATTAAATTCATTTATTTATTTACTTGATGACCTTATATAGAATTGTCATTTTATTTGCTACATTGAATTTGAGGAGAATTTTTAGTTTGAGATGAAGTAGGTTCAAAGAAGAATAAGCAAGGTTAGAAGAAAAAGAAGGAAAGAGATGAAGTAGAATAAAAATAAAGAAGAAGCAAGGATAGAAGAAAAAGAAGGAAAGAGATGAAGTAGAATAAAAATAAAGAAGAAGCAAGGATAGAAGAAAATGGAGAAAGAAGAAGATGAAGTAGAATAGAAGTTAAGAAGAAGCAAGGATATAAGAAAAAGAAGGAAAGAGATGAAGTAGAATAAAAGTTAAGAAGAAGCAAGGATAGAAGAAAAAGACGGAAAGAGATGAAGTAGAATAAAAGTTAAGAAGAAGCAAGGATATAAGAAAAAGAAGGAAAGAGATGAAATAGAATAAAAGTTAAGAAGAAGCAAGGATAGAAGAAAAAGACGGAAATAGATGAAGTAGACTAAAAGTTAAGAAGAAGCAAGGAGAGAAGAAAAAGGAGAAAGAAGGAGATGAAGTAGAATAGAAGTTAAGAAGGAGAAGCAAGGTTAGAAGAAAAAGAAGAAAAAAGATGAAGTAGAATAGAAGTAAAGGAGAAGAAGCAAGGTTAAAAGAAAAGGCGCGAATACAACTATACTCTAAATACTATGTGTGTTTGACTAATTACATGAACGTGTTAAGTATTGATTATTAATTCTATAGTTTTATATATTCGATGCACATATAATAAATATGTAAGACTAACTTTATTTTTAAGCAAAATCTTTAAACTAACTAAAAAATTTAAAATGTTAAATTAAGTCGATATCTATAGATGCATAAAAAATAAAACTTTTTTATTCTTCGAATTTTTTACAGTTCTGTCATCAATTAAACACACTGGGCAAAAATAGTTAAATATAAAACGTAAAAAAAATTATGAAATTCTATCTACTCAATCGGTACTTTACCTTCAATGCCATACTAATGTATCACTAATCTTCGATTTACTTATTTAATAATGACGTAATTATTTATCTCAGTCAGTTGTTTTAAAATGTTATCAATTAAATGTAAAATAAATATACATTATCAAAACATACTATACAACTTCTACTGAGATTTACACAGAAATTAAATAAACATTCATCAGTTGAAATGTTAGCACAGGAATAGTTAAGAAAAAACACCTTTGTAACATTTTTCTAAAATATTTTACTCGCACATACAATTAGGTTAAATTAATTCCTAAACCAAATTCAGTTTATTTTTGTTCCTTGATTTTAAAATTTAAACGTTGTTTTTGATACATTAACACACCATCTACTGAATACATAATAAATTTACATTATGATATATTTATGTGATTATTCGTAATTCAAATCAGGAGTCAAATTTCTGGCAAATGTGCATTTGCATGAATAAGCAATTCGTATCTGGTAAACACTTAACGGAATAATTTGCGTTAATTCAAATACTCATATGAGAAAAATACTCATTTATTTTATATATGAGAAAATATGTACTTATATTCAAGAAATTTAAAAAAAAATATTTATAACGTTTCGGATGTTGTGAATGTATGTTCCATCGGCCTAGAATATTATTAATAGATATTAATTTTTTAAAGGTTTTAATGTATTATGAACTTGTTTTATATAAATAAGAAATTAATTATTGATTTTTTCCTGGTTTTAGTCATTTCGTTAGCTTTGTGGTGTCCCCTCTTTGTATTGATCTAACAATATACACTTTACAACCTGCATCAAACTTTCTTTATAATTCAATACATATCTGTTGAATTTGAAACGAGTGCTTATATTTTCTGTTAAAAATGCCACCAAAAAAGCAGCAAAAGAAGAAAAAAGAAGAAAAAGATAAATTGCCCGAAGTCGATAAAACATTTTACGAATTGCAAATAGCAGATTTGAATCGCAAATTAACGCGTCTCAAAGCGACTAATCTCGAATTGAAAGAAACAAACGAAGAGTTGTCCGCAACATCGAAAGCCTTGGACGAAGACAGATGTGATGTCATTGAATATCTAAAACGGGTCGCCAAGCAAAAAGTTAACGACACCGATGATATGGAACAACGGATGATTGCTTTGCAAAGATTAAGAGAATCTGAAGCTGAAGGTTACAAAAAGTCTGTAGAAGATAGCAAGTCTGAATTCAAAACTATGGAAGAGCGACTGACTGCAGAAATCAAACTCCTTAATGGTAAGCTCAACTCCTTAGAAGAATTCCGCGTCATGAAAGAAGATTTGACCAAGAAGTTCCAGTTGCAGCAAGAGCAAATAGAACAGGATGAAGTCCGACATAAGGAACAATTATACGAATTGGAGAAGAAATTCAATATAGAAAAGGATAATTTGAAGAAGCAAATGGAAAGCAAGATGTTGAAGTTGTCCAATGACTTCTATGAAGCCACAGAGTTGACGCTGCCCGATATGACTAAAAGAGTTATAAGAGAGAACATCACAATAAACAACGAGCTAACTAAGTTGCTAAAGTCCCAAAGTGAGTTATCTGAAGAAAATAAAAACATGAAAAACCAACGACGAATGTTGCAAACAGAAATCAAGTTACATGAAGAAGAAAAGTGCAAACTGTTGCGAAAATTCAATGTCCAAAATTCAGCAATTAAACAATTGACTCTAAAATGCGAAGAACAAGAAAAATTGCTCAACAAGGCTAATAAGACTGAAAAAAATCTTGTGGATTCTCAAGATATTTTAAAACAGACTGAAGATAAATTGCAAGAATCATCCAAAAAAATCAATGAACTTGAAGAAAAACTCACAATTCTTACCAAAGAGAAAAACTACATCGTGCAACGTATCAAACACGAACAAATAGAAAAACTGAAGTTATACGATATTATCCTGCATGCTACAAAATCTGTTAAAACAGCAATAGAACTTAAAGATGAATCTCCCCATCTCGACTCAGCAGTTGAAATCACTACACGCCAAAATTTCTTGGCAGATCTCCTAAAACTTTTAAAAACAGCAAAGGAACCAAAGTGGCAACGTATCCGTCCTGGAGAGGAATCTGTCAGGCCAGGTGTTGCTTACGATTTTGGGGATTTGGGATTTGTCCAAACGGAAACCAAGATCGAAACACCAGTTACATTTGAGAGGTACCAATCTGCTGCAGGACGAAAGTTTCGGTTGGATTCTCAAGTTATTGGAACTTTGGTTACTGATCCTGTTTTGATGAGAGCAAGGAAGAGTAAAGCTGAACTCGAAGGATTGGGAATTGATTTTCAGGAGTTTGTAACGAAGGAAGATTTCGAGGACGATTGGTCGCCGTCGTCGTTTGAAGATTGAAACTAACATGGTAATATAGTTTTTACTTAATTGTTTAGGTAAAATCTAGGAGTAATTTTTTAATACAAGAAGAATAAATTACATCTAAGTGGCATTTTGCCACAAGAAAAGTTAAATTCTTATCAGTTCAAACGACTCACGTAAAGTAAAAATAAAATCATATTACATATATAATCATTAGAAATAAATGCAATATTTGTTAACTAAATATTTATTATCGAAATTATTTACAAATGAATTTGGCATATTTAAAAAAACTAGAAAACTAGACTATTGTAAATCATACAGGCATATATTTTATTTACAGTTTAGTCTAGCATGATTTTGAAAATACATATATAATATTTATACAAATATGTGATTTGTCAATATTTATTATTTATTATATAACAATTTCATAATGCAACTTATATTAAACTAAATTTCATTAATTTTATTATATTTATTATAAATATATTTTGACACTAAATAATCTAAGCTAGTACAAGCGTGTGTAATAAATTAACTAAAAATGTATTGAAATATATTTTTATATATAATTTTCTAGTCTTTTCAATGTTATGCAAAGGCAGTATTAATATAGTTTTCATATAAAATAAAAAATCATTGTTGATATTAAATCAAATAATACCACAATTCGAAGGCACAAAATTTTATAGATTGACTTCATATTCATAACATTAATTATAATTAGTCATTAGATTTAACAATAACAATAAATTTTATAGATATTTATAATTGACTATGCTTTCCACACAATTGCTGAATAAAGATATTTCCTATTTACAAATTGGTACTCATAATAATAATATACAATTTAATAACATTTGTAATAAGCAAAAATATTCATCACAGTATATTAGCTACCAGATGTATCATTTACTTCAGCTGCCACATTAATATCTTTGTTAGTATTATAAAAAGCTTTCGCAATTGCTAATTTATAATTTAATCACTAATGTAGTTAGAGGTATTTTTAAGCAGCCTGTTTATTAGATCAATAATATTGCTTCTTATTTTTTCGTGTCGCTAAATTTTTAAATAAATATTAAATACAAACATACAAAAATAAGTTTATATTGGCACATATGGCACACAGAATTGTTGTTGATATTTTATAAAAGTCACTGCTTTTCAACAATTTTCACATTTCTTATAGTTTAATGGCAGTAGTTCTTCTTGACTCGTCAATTTGTTATAATTGTTCATCTCCATGATAGTTACCATTTCTGTTTAATGGTTGTCTTTCAGGAGAACTGGATGGCCTATTTCTCTTGAAGAAGCCACACTAAAAAAATAATAACATTAGAAAATATTAAACAAAATCTGAAGTACATCTTATTTTTGGTGAAATGGATAATTGAAATCACTTAAAAATCATCATATCAATTATTTAGGATTATTGACTAGCGATAATTTTAAAGTTTTTAATGATACTGATATTTCAGGTTCTTCAAATTCATATCTCACAAAAATTTTACTTTTTATTTGCCTTATATACCACCATCACAAATATTGTTTGTGTTTAATAATGTACTATTTATCTTCTTCATTATCAATAAAATTACACCTAGTACATATATGATTTACAGAATATTGTTAATTGGTTGCAGTTGTTACAGTATATCGCCAAACAACTATTTTCACTTGACATCATATTTAGATCTAAATTTTTAAGTAAAGACTGATTCCACCACTGCGTACAAAATTTTTTTAAGCAAGCTCTAAATTCAACATAGGTATTATTATTATTACCTTGTATAATAAATAGATAAGTAGAAGCAAAATTATCGTCCCAGCTACTGCCGAAAGAACAACAACCCATAGTGGAACAATATCAGGTTTAATATAAGGATCAGAGGGCGCAACTGTCGTATTTACTTCCCTTGATATAAGTTCTGATACTTTTGGAACTCCTATTGATGGTAACTTTGTAACATGAGCTACCATGAGAGATGATAGAACTACGTTCCTATTTGAACCGATCTGAAAATTGAAATTATGATAGAGTTTCAGCAAATTTTGGACCGAAGTTTTAATTTTGATTTTGTAGATATTATACTATACATTGTAATATTTACCTTTCGTAAAGTTTGTGCGTTCACCCTGGATCTAAAGGAGATCCAGGTTTCTGCATCTGTTGGAAGTGGTCCAACCAGGCAACGCATCATTGCGCATTTTGTAGCACTAAAATAAGATGATCATTATCAATTTCAGACAAAAATTTGTCACAGTTTAAAAATGTTTTTACAGTACTATTTTAGCTAAGTGTGTATATTATTTTTTATGATATTTCTACTTACTTGCATGTAATGGCATTTTGAATATCGAAGTCAATGGATTCTTCCGTTTGTCTTTTGAATCGATCGTAATATTTGATCTGATGACCGTCTCTATTTTTATCATGTTCTCTATGGGCATGACTTGATGATTCGTAAGGGTGCTCATATGCGGCCGTTATGCCTAAAATAAGAAACATATGTATTTGCTATCATTTATTAAAACTTCAAATTAATATTATTTTTACCTTCGCCAATACTGTGTGGAGTATAGTCGTTATAATCGTAATCGTCTTCGTCTGCACCTAAATCTCTATCGTTATCCTCGTAACTTTTGTGCGAGAAACTATGTCGACTATCATGACCACTCAGATCTATAGCGGATGTCCTGAAACCACCATGACCTCCAGATGTACCAAAACTTGATTCGTGCCTAAAATCAACACCTTCGTGCCTTCTCCTTTCTTCCTCAGAATGGTGAGCACTCGAACCGTATCTGCGGAAATACACAGACAAAAATGAATAATATCGTAAAATGTGTGTGCTAAAATGTATTTGCCTGCACGTACCTCACTGTTCCATGACTAATTTCACCATCTCTATGAATAGTTCTGTTATATGTACTCCCATATCGTGAAGCAGCACCGCCTGAATGTAACAATTCCGGATTGATCGTGATTTCAGTTGACCAATCTCTACCTACTTGAACTGATGATTCGCTAGACGACTGATAATGTCTAGATTGCTCTTCTAATCTTCTTCTGTATTCTTCTTCACTTATGTGGTGTACAGAATGTGTTCCCTTGTTTTGTTGTCTAGAAGCATATTCCTGCAACCTTCGGTAAAATTCGTCATCGCTGATTGAACGCCCTTCTTCCAAGTACCGACTCATGGCAACGTTTCTGGTTAAATCACTACTTTCTTGGAGCCTTCGCTCGTATTCCTGAAGACGCCTTCTAAATTCTTCTTGACTGATCTTGCGCCCTTCATTAATAAAAGTAATAAATTGATCATTAGTGCGAGTTGACTGTGAATGGCTAGACGAAGAGCCAGTTTCAAATCTTGAGTAAACACGTTTAGCATATTCTCTAAGTCTGCGAATGTATTCTTGTTCTCCTATTCTTTTGCCCTCGGCCAAGTATCTAGCAATCTCAGCATTATGATTTAATTCACCACTTTCTTGGATTTTGTTAGCGTAATCCATCATGCGATTACGATACTCTTGATAACCAAGTTGTTCGCCTTCATTAAAATAGTGCAATATATCTTTATTATTTATATGTGTTATATGTTGTATGGTAGCTTCTGAGTTAGATGTTTGCTTATTTGCATAACTCTGTAGTCTGCGGTAATACTCATCATCACTTATTCTGCGGCCATCGTCGAGGTATCGTCCTAAATTCGGATGCTGGTTATCATAGCTACCAGACAAAGCACCAGTGGAATAAAGTTCTCTAGCATATTCAGCAAGTCTTCTATGGTATTCTTTTTGGCCCATCTTGCGTCCTTCTTCGAGGTAAACGTTAATGTTATTCATGTCTAATCTATGTATATGACTAGTGGATGAGGATTCGACATTTGCGTGATGTTGATTAGCATAGTCTTGTATTCTGCGATAATATTCATCTTGGCCCATTCTTTGTCCTTCTTCGAAATAGTTTCTGTTGACGTTGCTACTACTTTGAATTTTACGTGCATATTCTTCAAGACGTTTATGATATTCTTCTGCACCAATTCTTCGGCCCTCATTCAAATATCGAGCAATATCACTACTGTCGATATTGCTTATATATCTTGGAGTGGTTGTTTGTGTGACTGGTTGCGCTTGCAGTTGGCGTAATATATGTTCTAGCCTTCTATAATACTCAACATCACTTATAGATCTTCCTTCTTCTAGATACTGCCCAATATGTGAATTACTGCTATCAAATACTTTATTATATTCTCCTCGAGATTGCAGTAAATGGGCATATGTAGATAACCGTTTGTGATATTCATGTTCTCCACTTCTCTTACCTTCTTCGATATATCTTCTGAGATCGTCATAGGTCATTCCTCTTATATGATTTACTTCAGAGTCAGTTCTTGATTGCTGTTGATTTGCATACTCATGTAATCTGCGGTAGTATTCAGCTTCATTTATTCTGCGGCCTTCTTGCAAATAATGCCTTAAGTCACGATGACTAGAATCAAACTGCTTGTTCAACTCACCAGAAGTTTCCAGCATTCTAGCATATGCTTCAAGTCTCTTGTGATATTCGCCCACTCCTAATCTTTGGCCATCATCTAAATATTTCCCTATATCGTTCATGTCAATTTCAGAAAAACGTACAACAGTTGTACCTCCAATAGAACCGCCTGATCGTGAAATGAATTCCTGCAGTCTCCGGTAGTATTCATCCGTACTTTGCCTTCTTCCTTCTTCTAAGTACTGTTCCAAGCTAGAATGTCGTGAATCAAAAGCTTGACTCAAGTGACCACTAGCTCGTAATTGTTCTGCATATTGATCTAATATTCTATGGTATTCTTCTTTGCTAATTTCTCTACCATTATAAGAGTAAGTGAATGATTGTTGTTGTCTATATGTTGATCCATGACGATTTGCAAATTCTTGTAATCTACGATAATACTCACTCTCGCTTTTCCTGCGGCCTTCGTCGAGGTAAACTCCTAAATTAGGATAAGTATCATATCTCTGATCCCATTGCCCGCTTGCTCGCAACTGATCGGCATATTCATTTAGTCTTCGCCTAAACTCAGATTCGCTTACTTGCTGCCCATTGAATGTATAGGTCGTGACATTTTGCAAAATAGTAGTAGGTTGTAAAGTTCCATGGGTGGTTACTGCTGATGGGTTTCTAGAAAGATATGTTTGCACTCGACGATAATATTCATCATCACCATATCGACGAGCGTCTTCCAAATAATCACCAAGAGTAGCAAAATTTGCGTCGTATCTCTCATTCCATCGGCCGCTCGTTTTTAATCTGTCGACAAGATTGTTCATGTAACGTTGGTATTCTTCTTTGCTAACTCTTTGCCCGTTAATTGTATAAGTTCTAGAGACGATGGCGGTACCTTCTGATCCAGGTGAAATGGTACCAGGTGAAATGGGTCTCGTTGTTGTTACATCTACATTTTGACGGTCTGCACATTCTTGTAATCGTCTGTAATATTCTACCTCGCTTATTTTACGTCCTTCATCAAGGTATGTTCCTATGTTAGTTCCAGCGAATTGTCTGTTTAACTGACCACTTGCTCTGAGATGTGCTGCATATTCGATTAACCTCTTGCGGTATTCTACATTGCTTATTTTTCGCCCTTCCTCTAAATACGCTACAATATTTTGATTCAAATAAGCCGGTTTTTTAATTTCAGTGTATGACTTTTGGGGTGATCGCAATCGAATTATGTATTCTAAAAGTCTCCTATGATATTCAGTTTTTCCTATAAGGCGTCCATCTTCTAAATATTTACCTATATCCTTGCGCCAATTATCTAGAGAACCAGTAACTCCAGTGGGAAGGTAACGACTAGTATACTCATTTATGCGCTTGTGGTATTCTTCTTGATCAATTTCTCTTCCCTCCATTATGTAATTTTTCAAATCGTTCAACTGAGATTCTAATTCAGATGATAACTTTGGCAATGGAGCAAGACGATCAGCGTATTCTGAAATTCTTCTTCTATATTCATCTTCATTAATATTGCGACCATCCAACAGGTACTGATCAAGTCTGGGTTCCCAGATACTCAAGAATCGACGATCTTCTTCTTTATAAATATTATTTGTAGTATATTCATCAAGTCTTTTGTCAAATTCTTCCTTGCTTATTTTAGCACCAGCATCTAAGAAGCGGCCGAGATTTTGTATTTCGATTTGGCGATCGTAATCCAAATTTGTAATAACAGCGTCGTGTTTTTCAAACTTCCTAACACGATCTTTACCCCAGAAACTGCTAAAATATTAAATTAATAAGTTAGAATACAGAAAATCAAGGATAACATAACCTAGGGTTCTACCTGTAATGCTCCTTATGCGAAACTCCTGCACCGCCTGAAGCAGATCTAAAAGAAATAAATTAAACTTGAAAAAGAGCTCAAAGTCTATGATATTGTTTTGTTTTGTATATTTACCCAGATGGCCGTACTCCAGATATATGCCCTGAGGATAAAACTCCGTGGCCTTGTTTGCGAGCTTCCTCTTCTTGCTTTTGGGCGTCCTTATTTCTCTGTAGATGGATCAATGATGCATCACCACTAAAAGCTGAATCCTCTAATTTGCGACGATCCTCTTCACTTAAATCTATTAAATAAAAAACATAAATTTATAGACACGTGTGGAAGTTGAAATCTATCGATTGCAGTATTACATTTCTTCAAATACTGTCTAATTAAAATTTTATACAGTAATTCATAATATTTACCCTGTTCCAGAAAAGTAAAATTAGAAATTCTAAACATGCTTAAGTATTTTTAAAACAATCTAAATTTACTGATTGCTACTTTGTCATAAACTATATTTCTAAATTTAATCACAACTACTCTATAACTAAAAAGTGCACTTTGAAAGAATTTCATTTCTTCCTTAGAATTCTAAATCAAGTGCCAATAAAATATTTACCACTACCCCAAGCTGGTTTGCCTATGCCAGGACCTGAAACCGAGGCAGCAGGTGTGCCAAAACGACTTCCAATGCCCAACGGATCAGGAACTTCCAAAGAAAATCGAGATTTATCAGAATTTTGAATCACCACTCCACTGCTTTCCAATATGCTCTTCTTTTTGTCTAAAATCAGTCCCATGGAATTCACGTCCTGCATAGGTGAACAGTATATATTTCCTGATAGTTCGGGTTGTTCTAACATGTAAAATAGATCTTCACCTGTAAATTTAAAATAAAAATGAATTTTAGTATCTTTTTTAATTAGGAAAATCAATTTTATCTTTTATTTACCATCAAGAGTTTTCGTTGGCCAAACAAGGAATATCTCTGCTTCTTCTATTGTAGATGGTCCATCATTACGGATACTGTAAATATGAGATACTTGCGGTCCCAATTCCGATTCATGGGATATATTCTCAGCTGTATACAACGAATTGTTATAATGAACTTCTGGTGGTAACGAGGTTCTGTAAAAATATTCATTATAAGCACCCATTTATGCCAACTACTGATTAGTGGTTTCTATCTACTAACCCAGATATAGTGAGATTTGTCTGAATCCATATCGGAATTGACTTTTCCATTCGGTTGTTGATCAGAGTTTCATTTTTCTCAGGGTTGGTGCTGTTTGCATGCATGTAAAAGTCGTAACTTGCATTCATTCCAGCTTTGTGGTAAGGATCCAGAAGTACATTGAAGTGCACCTAATTAGGGAATTGTTAGGTAAATACCAACTCTGTTCTCTAAAAAATCTGTTCAAATACATATGTTTCTACTTACGTATTTATTTTGCGGTAGTGGATTTCCAATGTCGCAAATTAAAGTATTGTTGTTAGAGATCTTAGGTGGAGAACAAGTGATTGGAATATCTCTTTCATATTTATCAATCCTTTCGATTTTCTTAAAGTCTACGCCTGGTGGCATCTGCATGTAGAAGGAAGACTCAAAAGCATCTTCGCCGTGATTTTGCACAACTACTTCTATTCCTAATCTCTCCTTGGAACCGAGAAGGTATTTTTTAACGCTCCTGGGAAAAAATATCACTTTAATTTGTTACAAATTTGAGTATTACAAATAAACAAATAGACATCAGTAGTTTAACAAAGGGTTACGAAACTGTAAATTTATTTGGTGTTAGTCTTTAAATTTAGTAGGCTTACGTTGTGGTATTTAGTCTCAAATCAGGAATGCACACATTATCAAATCCACAATTCTTCTGGATGTTCAAAGAATCACGTTGAACTAAACCTCTATCATGATTTAGTACAGGTGGTAAAACATCTCTTCTTCGGCGTGCTAAAACACTGCCACTTCCATACTCTTTAGCGCCATGTAAATTATAACGCATTTCTACTTCCAAAGGAGTCAATTTATCTCGAATATTGTCCTAGATATTAAATTATTATATTTAATCTATATAGTTTTGAATATTATTTATAAAATCAACTTTACTTACCATTATGTATACACTCATATCTTCACATAACTTATTGGCTTTGGTTAGATATACGGTTTTATTCAAAATGTTGTTTCTTTCATCGTTCAAGAAGTACATACGAGGTGTTCGTAATTTTTTAGAATCCAGGACATATGATATATCGAACTCTGAAATGAAATTAAAGCACATGAATTTATAATACAGACTCAAGTTAAGCATGCGAATTATTCAATGGAGTGATATGTTAGACTTATAACTTTAGATAGTCTTTTCAATTGTATTTATTAGAAATCAAGTACAATTTTTTTAATTTATTATTTTTCTATTATTTGTTTATTAAAATTGTATCTTACGTAATCCATTAACAACTCCGATTCCATTATAAGTAAGACAGGAATTCATCCGAACGCAAGGAACTCTCACACCATTTTTCAATGAGCAATTTCTTTCGTCCAAACTTATAACTTTTGATAGTTGCTCAAACATGATTTTAGCATCCAAATCCACCACTGGCCGTGATCTAATAAATCAAGAAAATATATTTATAAATATAAGTAAAAATGCTTAAAAATATCAAGCATTCAATGGTATGGGATAGCGCCTAAAGCTTCCGCACACTTTACTTCAAGTTCGTCATCATGTTACATATTAATAGGCGCTTGGATTTTGCCGTTAAATGATATGAAATGCTTTTAAAAAACTTGCTAAAATAAGAGCTTGCACGATATTTGGTTTTAAGTATACAGAAAAATCTTACTTGAAAAGAAACGCTTTGTTCGTCTTATATGCACCAACACTCATATCTGGATATTGATTGTCATCGATATCGACGCCTCCAGCTAAAGAAAATCCAAAAGTTGATACATAAGGATCCACATCTTCAGCAAATATCACCTACAAAATTAAAAACACGTTTTAGCAAAGTTGTGCACAAAACATTAAGCACTAATCAAAAATAATTTACCAATTTATCAAACTAATAATGCTAAATTAAAGGTATCTCTCCTTCATTAACGTGTGTGGTTAGAAATTTCCATAATTAGCGCTTCTGGCACTTTATGCTGTTATAATTGTCGTGTGAATACAATAAAAATAATTTAAATTTGCACTTACTTGCGAATACTTCTTTCGCACACCGGCATTAGATCCGTGATATATGTAAACAGCACCTTTTCCATGTGGACCATCGTATGGTGCACCAACTGCAAAGTCTACAAAATAAAAATAAATTATAAAATAAATATATCCACAAGTAATTATTTGTTTTAAACCTATATATCACATCTTATAGACCTTTAATATTTAAAAAGATTCGTTTTCTCTATCATTTTTATCAACATGCTAAGTTTGAGCAAAACCCCAGACAAGTAGACCTGGGGTTGTCCTTGTTAGTGTTTAAATACGATAAGATCGAATAAGATCTAATTAAAACCCTAAATTTGAACAGTTTCGTTCAATTTTCTTGTCATGTTCAATGTCAAAACAGTTATTGTTTGTTTACCTCCATATTTATCCAAATTGATGTCACCTAAGCTGGCAAGAGCCATACCAAATCTTGATCTGGATACTTTAGCATCAGCTCGAGTTTCCATGGTACTAAATTGGTTCTGAAAATTTGTTATATGTAAAAATTTCTTAACCGACTCAATTAGTATTTATAATTTTCTTACCTGTGTCTTCTGATAAAATATGTAGATTTGTCCAGTTTCAAACTCTCCTTTATTATTTTTAAAATCGGTGTACATTGGAGCGCCAACTATCAAATCATCTAGGCCATCTCCGTCAACGTCAGATACGCAAATCGCGTATCCAAAATAGGCTCCCAACTGGTCACCAGTTACGTTCCTGATGTTTTCTAGATTAGATGTATATAGAACAACCTGTGGAAAAATTTATTTAATTTATGTAGCTCATTCAGAAATCAACTTTGAAAAAGTCTAGAGTAAAAACCAAGATATTATATAAGAATATTAAGACGATTCTCACTTTTCCCTCCAATCCATGACCATTTGGCATGCCGACAGCAACTCCTTGCTCTCCTTTACCAGTAAAGTCACCTGCTGCCATACTATAGCCCAGGTATGAATTATCATCAGTGGCCGCACTGGGTCCAGTGGCGGCAACTCTTTTACTTTGGCCAACCGAATCTGCATGGACTTGGCCTAAAAATCGAATCATAAAAAATTAAATCTGGACCAATCGTGGGGTATCATAAAATCGACTAATGGGATACTTGCATTAATAAAATGTTGAAGCTTATAGAATATTTTTAGTATTTTCCTTGAATTCGGTTTCAAATTGCGATGTTCAAATTTGCCCCAATGATTGCAAATAGTTAAAAGTTGGAATTAAAAATTATCCCAAAAATATTTAAAGAGTAGTATGTTGTAAGATCAAATAGAGTTTAAGAATAGCAGAAAAATGATAAAAACTTTAAAAAAATCTTAAATTCTTAAAAGTTTAAAATTTTTTTCCTAATTTTTTTTTTTTTTGTTTCAGAATGATTTGGGCAAGCTATTCTTCTACTTTGCAACATGTCACGAGTTTGGTAAGTACAATATTCAAATTATAACATTCGCATGAAAATTTAAACAAAATACAAGTATCCCAGTATTTTCTGAAACTATTTCAAACTAATTTATGATAATTATCTAACAATTATTACCATAAAGCCAGGCTGAAGCAAGCTTTATTTTAATCTATGACAATGACAATACAGCACCTACATTTCAACTCACTAAAGCTACGATGATTATAAATGTGATTGTATTAAACCTGATTATGATTTATTTATTATCTTATTGAAAAAATTAGACTTATATATTTATATTAGTTCGGCATTAATTTATAATTAGAATTAGCATTTTCAGCCAACACCAAATTATAAATCATGTTACTCCTCAAACATTCCGAGCTAAAACTTATTTGAAATTATTTGAAGTTGAAAGTTATTTTATTAAAATTAAATTGGATTTAATACACTTGTTAAGGCTTAACTTAGGGATGTATGTTTTTTAACCTAAATGATTTGTCTATGAAGCATTTAAGAATTAAAATTAGCTGCTGTCGTAAATGCATGGTTTTGGCTAATTTTTCTTCTACAAGCTAAATATTACACGTCGATAATATTCAAATAATATTGCAAGACTGAAAAAGAAACGACTAAAGCATTAATTCAGTTTATTGTTCATTCTATTTATGGAATGTTTAATCTATATTTCCATAAATAATTACATAGATATGTTATTAAATTCATATAGAAACTTTATCATTGATTTGCTTTTACCACGATGTATGCATATAATAATCATGATATGCGTTATTAAATCGCAATAACTATAATATATGCTTTTAATTATAAAATATTCCATATATAGAAGAGCACAAATAAATAACTATACAATGAACAACTATGAATTGGTCCAGCACCATCAGCATCCTTTCCGACTAATCGACGATCAACGCTGAAAAACCAAATGAATTACCTGGGGTTCAATATTATGAGTTAATGGGATATCTCAAATCGAAATCATTAAATCAAAATGGTTTATTATAGCATTAATATTTGACATGGTACATGAAGCTTGAAAGCTACTATGTACTTACTTCTTGGGAAAACATCACAGATTCATGCATGTTTAGAGAAATCATCAATTTAACCACTAAAAACCAGAATTTCTATTTAACATGCAAGATCTGCAAGGTTTTGCCAAATTTAAAGCTATGTACATTAGAGCTTTCAATGATGGATTTAAGAATGTAATAAGAAAGTAAAAAAATATAAAAATAAAAATGATGACTTTATAAACATGCTTTGTAGCCAAGCTTGATCTTGAAGCTTTTACTAGTAATGCTTTTGCTTATTACATTCTCAATGATATTAAAATTTTGCGCATTGTTTGAAAATTTGCTATAAAAAATCCGTAATTTTTAATGAATTGAAAATTTTAAGTGTAATTGAATTGAAAATAAATTTTTAAAAAAGAATGAAGATCATTCTTTCTTTGTTTGTTTGTTTTTTTTTATATCTTTAGTTCTCTGTTTCTTTATTTCTTCCTTCTTTTTGTCCTTTTTCCTTCTTTCCTTCTTTCTTTCTTCTTTCTTTCTTTCTTTCTTTCTCTCTTCCTTCTTCCTTTCTTCCTTCTTTCTATCTTTATTTCTTCTTCCTTTCTTCCTTCTTTCTTTCTTTATTTCTTCTTCCTTTCTTTCTTCCTTCTCTCTTTCTTACTTCCTTCTTTCTTCATATCATTATTTTTGTTTTCTCCTATGTTCTTTTTGTTTGTTTGTTCTTTTCTTTCTTTCTTTATTTATTTACTTCTTTATTTCTTCATTTCTTGCTTTCTTTATTTCTTCATGAGGAAATCGTTTCTCTTTCTTCTTCTTTATTTTATTCTCAATTTTTCTATATTTATACTTTTTTCTGTGTTTTTATTATATTTTTAACCTTATTTATTTAATTTATGCTATTCAGCTATGCACAGTTTATTTCGGTGCATCTTGAATTACAATTAATATATTGATAAATGCTCAATTTCTTTTTTATACAACCCGTATTTTCAAAAAATATTATATTTTGATAGCATTACATTTTTAATAGTAATAATTTATAAAAAATATCAAAATACTAATAATGAATAACTTCGGTTGTCCTTGTGGGTTTGATTTAAAAAAATCCTGGCTTCATGTTCGAATAGATGTTTTCTACTCATTATTACTTTAAGTTTGCACTTTTAATTATGTAGTTTTGTAAAAATTATTCAAGCAATTATATTTTTGAGCAAATAAAATAGGAAGGCGTGAACTTAGCATTGTTATTCACGTTGGGCTTCAAGTAATCTTTCAAATGCAATTTCTCAAATACAAATTTTCAAAACAATGCAAGCGACAACGATGACAATTACTCATAAAAACTAACAGTGATAATAAGTATGATTATACGATGAAGGAGTCAACGGCAAGCCAAAGGCAATAAATATGCGAGGCGGTCATTATGGATAAATTTCTCATTTCTCGAACCAACAAACACCAACCAACCGTCTGCCAATATTATGCAAAATGTTGGAATGTGAGACAACGAACGCGTTAGCAATTTTTGGGGAAAACTGGAAAATTCGGTGACAATTGTTACCTCTCTCGTCAATATATCCGAATTCGATATCTTTGGGCACACTGTAGGGAAAGTTCAGTTTCGAATTCACCGAGTAGGCTTGACCTGTAATGCAATTGCCGAAAGAAGGCAAATAGGATAAAAAATACATATACTCGTACATGTAATTAGACAATCATGTAATAATACATGTAAAACTACCATTACTAATAATAAATAAATATTTTAAGGTATAAATCACATTATACAAAATTATATGCCTTATTTTTAGAATTGGAGACAAATGCAAGTTGATTAAGAAAATAATTTCAAGAAGTTGAAATTCAATTTCAGTATTGAACACCACTTCTTTTAGTGGTACATATATCTCACTTAAAATACCGATTCAAAGTAATTAATCTGTTTAACACTTTCCAATAAACAATTAATAATTTTTATATACTTCGATTATATCTACTATCCAACATATTTATAGTACAAAATTATCTAGTTATTTTCTCGTGCCTATTTTTTTTAATAATACTATTTCATGAAGTGATTGATTTGAGTCTTATTATTTAAATAGTAGTCATTTCATTGCGTTTTCAATTTATTTTTAAAAAATATCTTACCCTGCCAATACCAGCTTCCAGGTGCGCCGATAAAAACACGTTCTCCATCCTGGTAATAAAGTAAAATTAAAATTAATTTTCATAATAATGATTATAAATTTGAAATAATATTATAAAAAAATGAAATTTTGAGTTACGTGTTAATACTGATTTACGATTGAGCATTAAGACAAGAAAGATACATATTTTTGAGACTCCAAAAAAATTTTATTAGTTAGGAGTTGTAACCGTTCTCTGGTCAATAATCTGTTACTATTGCAACATTAATGCAATACATTAGATTAGATGCTTTTGCAATGTACTTTTAATACACTTACTAGTACTCAATTAATTCAATTTTTAAATTTGAACTTTTACATAAACTTTTCCTACCTTAGATAAGGCGGCTCCAAAACCAGCCTGACAGTATCCTTGTCTGTGATAACCCCAGTTAGCTGAAAAATAAATTTGCTATATATTAATACCGATATTATAATTCAATATAATAAAACCAAATAAATGATAAAGTAATAAGATTTGTTATATTTGAAAAAACAGCATCAGAAAATGTAAAAAACTCGAAAAAATAATATTGGATCTATATGTCGGTGAATGCTTATACGCGCACAGATTTACTTTATTTGTGTATTATTATTGATTAACAAATTATTTTCATAATTAATATAACTTTAATATTAGATATTTTATATAGTACCATAATATATACACCTCGTTCTTATAGTATGTTATAAAAATCGTTTTTAAGAAGAACGTCGGCATGTTTTTAGACTTCCACATTATATGGGATGTTATTTTTCCTTAAGCCCCAAAATCATGTGATTTCCGCAGCAATTTTCACGCCTTTTCCGGGCAATTTTACAAATTATCAAATGCATTATCGATCACAATATAAAATATTGCCGAAGTCATAAATCAGTCATAGGTTTTGACAACCGGAGATGATGATTTCTCATCGAATGTGGATTTTTATTCGAAAAGCAAAACCTATAAATAATATTTAGGATATACTATCATTTGAAAGCTAATGTATAGTATATAGAAAGTTTTCTCAATATATTCTGAGAGTACCGCTAAAAAATATTATAATTTCATATATTTATTATAATAATGATGAAACAGAATTATTTTACAAAACATAGATATGCTTTGTCTTTAATTTTTTTTTTCAAAAATCATTGATCCAGACATTTTATTTTTTCAAGTATCCTTAATTACTCGATTTACTAAATTAAGTAAAATATAAAAATAGAAGAAAAAACTTGCAATAGATTTAATTAACCGAATTAATGCATTTATTCGAATCTAGAACAATTATCATTAAGAATGTGATTTATAAATTATAATTTATTCTCTCACTATCCTGTACTAATTGCTTCACACATTTGATTTTAATTTATCGAATAAATTTAAAAAAAATAAATATAAAATTATATTGCATGTAATTGTATAGTCAATAAATAAAAACTCATTACATTACAAATAAATATTATATACTAGAGGTAAATTTTAAATATGATTTATTAATACATGCATTTCTTTCAAGCAGATTAAAATTGAATATTTTCCTTTTATGATGATGTACGTAATAAAATATATTTAACTTCTTTTTTAGAGTTTAGTATTTACAATAATTATAGTGATGAAACATTAATTTTGAAAAAATAATTATTGCTCTGAGTATTTAATTAACGTTTTTACTTCTTCTCGTATTAAAGGCAATGAATATATCCATTCCATAAAAGCTATTAGACATTAAACGTATTAGAAATCTGGTATACCAAATTAATTGCTCTGATTGTGATTTAATGTAAATCGGTAAAACTAGCCAAAATGTAATTGCACATTTACTTTTTTGGAGTAGTAGTTATATTAGTAAAATTGTGAAAAATATTGTAGAATTAAAATATTTTTAATGTTTATGATACGTAATGTAGGTAGTGCATTACTATATTCTCACACTAAAGATAGTATTTCTGTTTTTGTTATTAGGATAAGCAAAGATTTTCGTTGAATTGTTCCGACAATATATTCGATGTTTACGTACGTTCAAACACTATTAAATAAATATAATTATTCCCTATGCAAAAATAAAATGCAAATGTGCAGATGCATCTACGTGCCCGGAGATGAATACAATGGAAGTCGTCAAATCGCATTTTCGTTAAGGAATATAATTTGTAAATCAAACTGTTTGATTGAAACGATTTATCATTCAATTGTCGTTTATTATTCGTGCATCGCTTGCGACGGAGATGGTTCCTCGAATTAAATGACAGAGATTTTATTGGAATACCAAGGGCCTAATTATAATGTGCCAAATATTTCTTTGGACTACTTGATCAAGTTAGATGAAATGAAAATACTATTATTAGATGTTACAAGCCATTTCTCAAACATTGTTATGGCAACGCCATGTTACGCTTTTTTCTTAGTAGTAAAAACTGTCCAAATGCTACACGATGTTTTGTCCTGGCGGAACTGAATATAATTTAATTTTTATCCATATTTTAAATAATATATGATATTACCCGTTATTACCAAGTTTACAATGAATGTAAATGCATTTTTATCGCACTAATTAAAATTCATCTTCCAACAGTTCCTTCCAATGTTTGACTTAATGACGCTCGAGTACATTTGAAGTATGTTTCTTTGTATGTAAAGTAATTAACGTCTCAAATCAAGCTTTCAAAAATATGGGCATGTTGTTTTCTATGTACATAAGAAGCAAGTGTCACTTGAATTAATTACATTGATGAGTGAATAGGAAATATTTATAAGAAGATTAAATGATAATAAATGCTGTTTTCATGAGAGCTTTGTTTATTACAAGACTACTTGGTGATTGTCTTAAAAACCAGGCATACTTCAAAAAGTAGTAGGATATTAGCCAGAACTTACTATTCTCCAAAAATTTAATTTTAATTTATGCAAAAAATTATTTTCTAATGATCGACCGAAAAAATTTAACTCAACATTTATTGGGTCATTACAAGAGCAGTAGTTGTTCTTTCTACTTTTGATATATTTTTAACATTTAGTATTTCTGGCTTAATTATTTTATACATATTTTCTTCTTTATAGTGATGGGCCAAAAACCGAAAATGAAAATTTTTGCATATCTTCACGTTTCAGGTTTTTAGGTTTCTGAACATTTTGGCATACCTCAGAAAAAATGGATGTGTGTATTTCGTCGACGATTTCGAGACGCAAATATACATCTTTTTTTTTTAAGAATGTAAAAACGTTCAGAATTCTTATATATATATATATATATATATATAATAAATATATAATAAATCATTAATTCATAGATACTTTGTATCAAACAACTAAAAATTTGGTTCTTGCCACCCCGATCAGATACAAAACGATCTCGACTATTAACTAATTGTATATTTGTTCTCTCAATAAAAAAACATCATCAAATACACGAATTCTGTTAACTTTCATTCATATAATAAAAAACCTAAAAAGTCAACCACATCTGTTCGTAAAATGTGGCATGTGTTTGCAGTGTACCGTACCGTGATGTTCATTTACAAAAGTCCTCGTAGGTGGGAACATGGTTTTCGAAGATCGTACATTTATTGCGGATACCATGACTAGAATTGTAATGTTGTTTTTGTAAAGTATTTTTCCCCAAAAACCCGAAAACTATGCGAGGAAGTCGGAACATGTGGGTTATGTTTCACACGACCGAGAGGAAGTAGATACAGTTGTTATTTTCAGCTTTTGGACTTGCAATTTTGTGATGTGAAAAAAATTTATTGATTGTGATTAAATTTATCTTTTAACCAATTTTCATTAATCATCTCAATTCAGTCCTCTATGAGAAATTAACCAAAGAATTTTGTCGCCACATCTGTTCCAATGGAATGAATTAAACACTTGTACTTAAAATGAAATAACAATTAAATAACGAGCATTAATCAGATGCATGTGTTACTGACATGGAACTGATCTAGAATCGTTTATCTAATTAATGTCGTTAATTATATATTCTAGATAGCTGTGATAGATTTTTATAACGTTGTAATGAATAGTTGTTCATTGAGTTTTTTAAGATACTTAAAAAAACACATTTGGTTATTGCCTTAGATTTAAAAATCTCGGAGCAATTGCAGTAGGTCTAGTAAAATTATACTTTGTCATTGACAGCATTTTGTCTCCTTGACTTACAACATAAAATTTCATGTTCTTATAGCTCACATACAACAATCATAAGTATTATTTGTTAAATTTTATCAAAAATTTACTAATTGATTAATAGTTCAACAGTTTCTTCATTTCAAATACTAAACAGAATTTATGTAGGTGTGAAAACAAATCAAGATCCGTGTCAGGACATTTAAGAATTTGTAAATCGATCAAAAATTTTTATTAAGAAGTCAAATAATAATCTAGAAAATTATTAATAATATTAGTAAATAAAGTATTACCGAAGCTACGTGGGGAGTGATGTGGCAACACAAGTTGGCCATGAATGCGGAGTAGAAAAACAAAATATCAGATCTGTCATGTATAGAACTTACACTAAATGGAGAGCAAAATAAGTGTTAAAAGATAAAAGGGTCTTACTTATTAACTGTGACGTCACTTTGTGAACAAGCGATGCCGACAATCGTGGAGCACTCTCGATTGATTAAATGTTATATGTCACGTGCTTAACCTAAAAGTAAATATTCTATGCTCGATTTGCATAAACAATGGTGAATATTACATATTATAGTGTATATTATTATACATCATATTATAATGTGTCATTTAATCAATCGGGAGTGTTCACGATTGTCTGCAACGCTCGTTCTCTAAATGACGTCACAGTTCCCATCTATCTTTTGACACTTTATGAATTGGAAAATATATGAGGAGTCCATGTTGTGTAAGGTCTATGGTGTCATGACATTTAGGAATTTGTAAAAACAAAGAGTTACTTATTTAATACAGTTTTATACATATGCTTCTATATAGAGGACAACGACTCATACGCTTTGGTATGATTTTGCTACCAACTACTATTGATATTAATCATAATTCTATTTCAATCATTTTAATTTCGCTAGTGATATTTTATAGATTGCTTATTCTGACTTTTATAGCCTACGGGGCAGCAAATTTTCGATAAACTTTCTATAGGATGTCTTAAATCAATTATCTGCTCAAGTGTTGCGTATACATACTTTTATGTTTGGTATACAGAAATGCATTTCTGAGACCCGCATTCATTTCAGAAGTCTTGATCTTAATAGACGTATTAGTGATGGTAATAATAGCTCGAAATTGGATTATGGAATAGATCGAATTGATCGATTGTTCGATCAGTTGAAAATAGTGTTTGCAAGTTCAGAGTGTTTCATCTCCTTTCCAGAGTTCATATACTTATATATGAATAATTTTAGAATAAAGGTACAGTACCAGATATAAAATAGGT